CAACACTCATTAATCAGGCCTGTTCCAGCCTCCGTCCCTCCCTCCAGACTGCCTGACACGCTGCCACCGGCGGTAAGACGATGCTCGGTGTCCGTCCTCGTCCGTGGGTTCCCTCCCTGTCTGCTTTACCTCATATCCTGTATTCTTGTTCTCTGTATCTGGTCCTCCAGTCAAAATCAGTCGCTGCAGTGCAGGTCCTTCGTAAAGGGAAGCTACCTGAAACATGCTGTGGTCAGAATCAGAGCAACACAAAACAAAGAACCGGACTTATTACACAGAAGATGACAGATTGTCTGTTTCCAGTGTTGAGCACTGGTTTCATTTGAATCCCAGTTTAGATTTATGCTGAAGTAAATCAGCAGGCTGGCGGCCGGTGTGTTGACATCTACATCCTAAACTCGCTCGCTCAATAATGAAATCAGGCTTGACGCTGTGGAAGTTCAATACGGTCAATACGGTTAACTGACTTCCAGCTCGCACGGGGCAGCGTGTCGGCGCCGACTCCAAAGAAACAACACTAATTAGATGCTGTTTTAATCATATAAATATACACATACATAGTGATGTATGTCAATTAGGAAGTCACTGATCTTTTCCAGATTTCACAGTCCGTCACTTTCTTGAGCTGCTGTTGGCAGAGTGTCACTCAGAGCGCCGAGAAATTAGCATCATACGAGTGCGATAAGCTGTAAACGAGTCGACTAGAGAGTCGGAGGAATGCCTCTGATGTTCCACGTCTCCGGAGAAGTAAGTCCAAGAGGCAGACAATATGCTAATTAAATTACAACAATATGGAAATATCTCATTGTGAAATATTGCAGAAAGGAATCACTTATGAAGATTTCATCTCTAATAATATGCCACATTAAATTAATGGAGCAAAAAAGAAAAAAGGAAAAAAGGAAAGGTTGGACGAAGGAGAAATGGAGGAGGAGCTCTGGGGTTGAATTTAGAGATTCATGAGTTCACTCTGAACTTTGATCTTATTGACTCTTGGTGGCTGTAAATCCAGGACTTGGAGAAGCCGGCGGTGATCATCCAGGAGCATAAAGAAGAGCAGCTCCTCACGTTTAGTGTTGTTTGGTTTGTTTGGGTCCATGTGGTGACTCTACAGAGCAACCTGCAGTCGCTAAAGAGTCATCTGCTGGTTGGGCAGAGGAGCAGATCAAACCTTAAAGCCTCTTCTTATTATGGATCTGAGGAAATGGTTGATGCATATCCCTCATCAGCATCAGACACATCTGGATAGAAATAATGATAGTAATGATTCGTTAGGGTCCTGCAGGTGGATCAGTGGTTAGCATCGTCGCCTCACAGCTAGAAGGTCTCCGGTTGGCGTCCCGGTGAGGACACCCGGGATCTTCCTGCGTGGAGTCTCCATGTTCTCCCCGTGCAGCGTGGGTTCTCTCCGGGTTCTCCGGCTTCCTCCCACAGTCCAGAAACATGCTGAGGTTAATTGGTGATTGTAAATTGTCCGTAGGTGTGAATGTGAGTGTGCTTGGTTGTCTGTCTCTAAGTGTAGCCCTGTGATAGACTGGTTACCTGTCCAGGTGAACCTGCCTTCACCCTGAGTCAGCTGGGATAGACTCCGCCCCCCACCACCCTAGTGAGGATTTAAGCGGCGTATAGATGATGGTTGGATGGATGATTGGTTAGTCCTCTCAGACCAGGAGCTGTTGGTTAAATGTGGGTTAACTAGTTCAGGCTAACATGCAGTTATCAGGCTAAAGTAATCCTTTGTTTTCATGCAGCTAGTTTGGTTCTTTCTAAGCAGTTTAAGCACAAATGTATTAATCCTGCATGAAATAAAAGGCAGTAGAGTGTGAAGCTGAAACTATGACCAGCACCTCTGTGATTGGTTGACTGCCAGCGTGTTACCTGTGGCAGGTGTGATGGGAAACTTTGGATTTACAGGATTCACTGGTCTGATTTTGTGCCTTCCTGTGTTTTCATGGGGTGTCAGTTAGTTTTGTTTCCACCATCTTGCCATTGTTTCCGCTCCACGATGAGTGTGTGAGTGATGTTGGCGGCATAATTGGTGAAGTTCTGTGCAGACTTTTAATTGATGATCATACGAACGCTGCTGGAGCGAAACCTTGTTAAGCTCACTTCAGCGTTCAGTCGGTTTAATTGCATTAACAGTAAGTTCTGCACTTAATAAGTTTTATGGTTGAAATGACAGATCTCATTTTAATGTAGAATTAAATGCAGCATGTTCTGGCTTCATTAGTCTTTGAACAGCCTTTTCTTTCTGATCAGCGTATGTGAAACTACATTTTGTTTTCTGCATTTCATTGTGTGTAACTACAGCATGAAAATCATGAGAGCCAGTAGAGCAGGATCTGTTAGTGACCTGATGTTTATCTGTCTATCCAGCGGATCGACACTTTGAACAAAGAAAACTAAATGAGTTCACACATGGACCTGTATCCTGACAACAAGTCCAGTTAAATTTTAAACCAGCTTTGAGGAAACAAAACTTCTAAACTCAGACTTAAGCTGGTGATGGTCAGGAGAAGGTAACGTTGGGTTTGACTGGCCTCTAGTGTCTGTGTCTTACAACTGCATCCCCAAACTTCAATGAAAACTGGAAATCCAGCGTGAACACTGTTAAAAAAATAAAATAAAATAAAGATCCAGCAGCTGAACAGCAGCATGTGCTGTAAAATATACTTTAACAGTTTGTTCTATTAAACAGAAATGTAATAATTATTAATTTATGATAATGTTGGGAATTTATTTAGTAGTTTTTATGTCAAATCTATTTTTTTTATCAGAGTAGCAGGTTTGTGATGTCATGTTACTGTAGTGATGTAAGTTTGTAATCTTATTTTAAAAAAGAAAAAAGGTAACGTTCTGTGAAATTACGGCTTTTTAAAAAAAAAAAAAAAAATTTTTTTTACAGTGTAACATAATGAAAAACTGAATATGATAATTTTTTTAAAAAGTCCATGTCAGACTGTAGCTGTTCTGATTTCTATATATTTTAAATTACATTGTGCTTTATAACATGAATAAACCAAGCTGTGCATTGATGTTGGGATGAATAGAAGCATGGACCCTCCAGCCACCGTTTATGAACCCATCTGCAAAACATCGACCCCACGAAGACACTGAGAGAGGCCACGAACCAGAAGCAGCATCAGCATTCCTCCGGGCTCCTGTTCATGGTGACTGCTGTCATCAGGTGAACTCTATCTCAGCATCAAGGCACAAACCAGTTTTTGGGACGACTTTTATCCTCCGGCGGTGACAGGCAGCAGTGAGACTGTGTGAGAGAGAAAACACCTGAATCCAACCAATAACCATCTTCTCCTCCAATCACTGGACAAGGATGATTTCACTGACTGGGTGCATCACACAAGTGAAAGCAGAACTAGGAGGTGCTGGTGAAATAATACACTGCAGTAGGCTTCCAGTCATGTGTCAGTGTGTTTTATGCTGTATTATTATTATCTATGCAGCGCTGTGGACGGAATGATTACGAGGCTCCAGAGAGATGCTGGTGCAACAACCCACCGTACGTCTTGCAAAGTCAGTTACATACTTATGGTACACTCACATTTTTTATTCATTTCCCTTATTGCCAGCAGCGCTGCAGCAGGATGTGAAACTCCCATAAAGTCCCCAGAGTGGCCTGGCTCCCCCTCCTCTCCTGTCAGTATCCTATATATGAGGTTTAACTGTGTGGAGATTGAAATGTTTATATATTAAATATGAACACTGACAATGTCATTGAACTCACTATTCTTAGTCTTAAATGATGCTTTAGCCGGTAAAGTGAGTCGTACCGTACAGAAAAGAGAATTGTTTTATCATTTTAAAATGTGCTTTACAACATGTTACTGAGTCAGTTGTCTAATGCAGGAAACTGCTCAGCGGGACTCGCAAATGCTGAAGCAAAACTTGTAACGCTTCTGCAATCTACAAAGAACTCTAAAACCTCATCATAAGGAACACTTCATAAAAGGCTGTAAATAATGTTTTCTACCTGTGATAATTCATTAGTTATGGCTTTATACAGCAGATCAGCAAACAGCCACTGTCCTCATCCCTCATCCATTTAGCTGGTTTTTCTTCTTCCTGGTAATGTCCCCTCATGTCCACTGGATGGCGCCAGAGACTACCCGATCCCTGGAGCAGCATCACCTACTGTACATAGACCGCCTCCCACTCAGGGAGGCAGGACTGAGTGTTCACCTTCCAGTGTGATCATATCAACACAGTCTTTTATATATGGAAGGTTTTAGGTAGATGTAGCTTCAAAAAGAACAAAAACTGATGTAACGCTGGTTAAACTGGTTAAACTGGTATAAAACACGTTATTTCTCTGGAGATCCTCTGTTAAACAACAAGGGCTTCTTCAGAACCCGCTCAGCGTGTGTCGGTCTTTGTTGGATTGATGCAGATTTGCATCACATTTGGAGCGCTATAGGCTTTCCAGGAGATGGGACTGTGCATTGTCCAATTCCTCTGCAATCCCGCCGAGACTTGAATCTCCACTGGGAGGCTGCGGCTCCGCCTTCCTTTCCCAGCCTGCAGAGTGGTGGGAACCGGGTACTGGGCAGCCCAAAATGGTATGCTATTTTTACCACTCTGTGTTCAATCTGAGGGCTGCTCCCTGGAGACCTGTTGCCGGCAGCTCTCCCAAAGCCGCGGAATTTAACCCTAGGACAGCTCTCCCCAGATGTGATGGAAAACATCTGGCCAGCTGCTCGACTACGAGGCTCGGCCGTCCAGCCCCAACGCTGCTAACCCCCATAAGACTCCCGGTCCGGGCCAGGCCTCGGCTGATGCTGCTGATAAACAGCAAGCAAGGCCCTCTAATGGAATGTGAGGTTTAACAGCGAGATGTGCTGATGACTGATTGTTGCTGCACTTTATGGGTCTGAATGAAAATAATGTTCAAAGAGTCAGAGTCTTTAATGTTAGAGTTACTCATGTGAACGTACGGAGGACATGCAGAAACTACAATAAATGAAACACAACATAAGAATGGCATCACAGAAGCTCAGGCGACATTTATTTATTACTGATTTTTATTTAATTTAAAAAAGATTACTTGTAAATGATACACTGAGTTCTACTGAAACACGTCCATGTTCTGTCTCTTAGCACAGGTTAACATTAGGCACACAAGAATGCAGACATCATTTTTGCAGTTCTAGCCATTGTTCAAATACAAAACGGAGAGAGAATGGGGAGGGAGGCGTTGCCCTAGCGAGAAAACTGCACTCAAAGTGTGCAGCCGAGGAAGAAAAGCACATCGAAACTAGCATTCAGCTCAACTGGTCCCCAGCGTGGGACAACAAACTGGTTTCTCCCTGTGTCACGTGTGACATTAAAAAAAAAAAAAAATACAAAATCACCTTACAAACCAAAATACCCCAGATCGCAAAACATGACTAGACCAAGTTTGGCTGTGTTATCGCTCACAGAGTCACCAGAAGAACAAACCCCTCTACCAGTACAAACACACATCATCATCATCGTCAACATGCCAGGAAACACTCTCATGTCTCTGATTTGGCTTGCGTGTAAATATGTGAATACCATGTGTGTATTTTACATGAGTGCACTACAAAAGCTGAAACTGGTCAATTCCTCCAGATATCTACGGTCATGTGCTCTTAAATATTTGGTCTTTCCCCTCGAAAAATACACATTAGGTCGGAGTGGGTCAAGCACTACGATAGCTCAAGCTGCAGTGGCGAAGAACAGCTACTTCACAAACACAGCCATTAAAATGAGGATACTAAAGAAGCCCGCGTCCAGGTCAGAGCTGCAGCCTAGCGAGCTTATGTACAGCCTATCCTACAGCCAGGGAGCTGCTGGGGGGTCTCACTACGGCTTTGCTGCAAAGAGAATAATAGAGACGAAACATTTTACTTATTGCACAAAAAAAAATGTCACTTTCAAGGGTTTCACTTTGAATCTGGTGAAGACTGTGGAGCTGATGTGGGCACCTCAGCGTCCTGTGGCCGGACGTTCTCCAGTCCAGTCCACACGGTGATAAGAGGTCTTCTTAACTCATGCATGGTGATCTATGATATGGATTCAGTTCACTAGAACTCTTTGCAGATGGAGTAAAGCTTTGAAAAGAACTGTACTGTGTAGAGGAAACGGCAATTGATCACATGTGCAGCGCGATTAAAACATACCAGAAATGACCACTACAGGCTGATAGGCTCCCTGTTCAACGGCTGGTTTGGCATCGATGTCGTCACTAAGTGTAGACGACTGGACCGATCGCCTGCACGGCTCCGTATGTGGCTCGTGTTGGAACACTGACACGCGACAAGTCACGGGATCCGTTCAATGGCACGTAGGAATGGATACAGACGTGGTTTTAAAATAATCTTGCAAATTATATTTGACTTCTCATCTGCACGCTGTGCTTCCCGTCAGAGAGAAAAAATATATAGAGAGGAAATAATACAACATACAATCAGATTCATTTTCTAGGTCATCCTCTTTTGGTTACACAGAGGCCGAAGCAAGTGCAGCATTCAAGTTGGTCAGAGAACGACGGGCCGAGCCCAAAAGTTTCCCGTTCATCTCAAAGATCAAGCCGTTGTCTCAAAGCGAGAGCGGCTTAAAGGCAGATGAGCGCGGACCAGTCGAGGCTCGAGCTCGTCACAAAGTTCTCCGAATATTTCTCTGAACACTAAAAGCGTTACCGTCCAGGCAGAACAATCATTCTCAGCTGGTGTACAGGAGTCAGTGTGCACCGACACGATTTGAACCGTCGTCAACTCTTCAGATTTACAAAACACCAGGAAAACATTTCACCTAATTTTCTATGACATGCAACCCTGATCGGGGATTTCTTTGCCCACGGTACAGCTGTAGTGGTGCCGTCGTAAATCTGACAGGAAGAGGAGATTGGAGGAAAATTACACAACAGGCCAAATAACTGCACGTTTTGGGCTCAGAGTGGGTGTGATGGTTCTGAGTTCAGAGTTTTGGAGTGGGTGGTGGGTTGTTTGTTTTGTGTGTAGTCACCCCCAGACTGAGCATCATTTCATGAACAGCAGTGGAAGCAGAGAGGAGGCGGCTCTACGCCGTCGTGGGCACCGACACCTCCAGAAGCCGGTTGTTCTTGCGCTTGCAGGACACGCTGCTGCCGTTCTTGGGGCCTCCCTGGATGAACTTCACGCACACTTTGTCCTGCTTGAACTGCACCAGAAACCTGCCGCACAGAAAAAACACGTCACAAAACATCGTCCGGCTGGAGGACGCACAGCCACAAGGTTTAACTTTTCCTACTCGTCTGAGATGTCGACGTTGAGCTGCTCCCGGTCTGCGGCCGTGGCCCCGATGCGGTGCAGCTTGGTGATGATCTCGATCAGGTGCTCGCTGCTGAGCAAGAAGTCTCCTTTGACAGCTGAAGCCGACCCCTGAAGCAAAAAGAAGACGACCTTCAGACAAACCACGGTGGTCTGAGCAGGCTTTCATCAATACTTTATGTTTTTCTAGATGAGAACATCAATTCCACTTTGTTGCCTGTAATAAATCTGGATTAAAGAAACCAGACCAGAACTGAACAACAATGCCACAAACATGTCTCACCTCTTTGAGCTTTAGAGCAAAGAAGCCGTCGCTCTGCGTGCTCACCGACACGCTGGCCACGTCGGGCAGAGGGACGCTGGCCTTCACCTGGCCCGTCTTCTGGTCAGCCAGGAGGACGCTCTTCTTAGTGAGCAGGAAGATTCGAGCGGTACCCTGCAGACGGAGCAGAGGTTGTTCACTCCGTAGCTGCTCCAACAATGTGGAACAAGCCGACGTTATAAATCAAAAGCCAGCTCACAGAGCAAAGTGGGCTGTTAGATGCATTTTTAAATGTCTCCGAGCTCGAAGCCGGAGCAGGTTTAAAACATAATGCACCGGTCCAGAAACGTCTGCTCCAACAAAAGCACTGCCAGTTGTTAAGATGTCAGCAAACGCCAGGTAGCTGTGCAGCCAGGTGAATTATACATCAGAACAGCTGAACACCTGTTGGGCTCCGTGTGGACGAGCTCAGCGCAACATCACAGCCTGAATGTTGGGCTTCTGGTGAAATGGTAAACGGTAGATGGTCTGCTCTTACAGTGTGTTTCTCATTCACCCATCCACACACATTCAGACACCAGCGGCCACAGAGCTGCCATGCTAGCTGCTGCCTGCCATTGGAAGCAACTTCAGGTTCAGTGTCTTGCCCAAAGACACCTCGACTGTGGAGGAGATCGAACTGCCGACCTTATGATTGGAGGACAAGCCGCTCTACCACCTGAACCACAGCCGTCCTTTTCAGACACAAACTAAATGAATAGTAGATATTTTATAGTGTGTGTGTGACCCTCCTCACCTTTCCATTAGCTCGGTTAATCTTATTGACCACATCAGCCAGCAGGACCTTCTCATCCACGGCGCTGTTGAGCTTCTGATATTTGGGGTTCTTGCTGATCTCCAGATAGTCTCCTTTGAAAGGCTGGCTCACGCTGAGGCAGAGGGAAAGACAATTACAGCACGAGGGACACAAGGTGTGGGATACTTCACTTAGAGATGGGCCAACCAGGGGCTTTAAATACCTGCTCGGGTAAAGAGCCTTTTTATCCTTGAAGATCTCACTCGCCTCCAGTTTCTCCTCATACACCGCCTTCCTCTCCTCTGTGAACTGGCCTCGGTATTTCTTGCACTAAACAAACACAAGACAAGTTAGTAGAAGTTGTATTATCTATTTTTTGTTTTTTACAGATATCTGTGATGCTGCCCATCTTGTTCTCTTTAGATAACAAAAACATTGACAAGCTCATCGTCTCATTCCATCTCAAATCATCATTTTCTACCAATGCTACTGGTTTTTACTGATCATACCTGCAGCATCAATAATACTTTAGTTTTGGTATTTTCTGCTCTAAGATGAGACGTTTTAGGAAGAGCCTCAATTTCTTTGCAGATTTCAGGTCGTCCGTGATCACAGACGGTTTGGTCGACGTGTCCAACACCGTCGGTCAATGACATCATGAGATGAACGTTTCAGGCTTTTTTCTTTAATAGTTCTCGAAATATTTTCATTTAAACGTAGCCTCGAATTTAAAAAAAAAAACATGCTAAAACTGGGCTGATGGCAAATAAAAAAAGAAGTTATCTTGGAAAGTTCTCTATATATATATCAATCTAAAAGCTCATGATCCCATTTTAAATATTGCTAGTTTATGATTTTAGAAAAGCTCTCGAGCCAATGAGAGCTGGTCCAGCAGACGGACGCTGATGATTTGAGATGGACGGAGTCAGTCTGACTGAATGTAAAGCTGTCGGGTTGTTTGTGACCGACCCTCCAGAGGTGGAAGATCCGCCGCAGCTCCGTGTGGACTCCGTCCAGGAAGCGGTACGGCCTGGCGGGCCACTTCCTGTCTATGGGTGACATGGAGGGCATGGAGCTCTTCAGGCCCAGGAAGTATTTCTGCATCTGAACACACACACGGACAAACAGTCAGATTTCTTTACACTATGACAAACCATCAAAAATATGTACCTTCTTGTCCGACTTACGATTCTCTGGATGGTGAACTCGTAGATCTTCTTGCCAGCATTTGCCCTGAAGAACTTCCTGTACTCTCTGCGGACCTGTTACAGCACAAGAAGAGAAATAAACCGTCAATCACTTCTCTCCACCTCTTGGTTTGATGTGTAGCAGCAGAGATAAGGAACACGCTGACAGGAGGATGACAGCATCCAGCACACAGCACACTCAAATAACACTTGACATTTGGTTAGTCACAGACAACGACAACTGGAACGCACAAACGCCAATCTGTTGGAATTAATCACAATTACAACTGCTTCAAATTAATTACTGGAAAGGCAATGACGGTGATGACAAACAACCTTCACGCTGACCTTAATTGCACAAATTGATGTGTAAACAGGTGCAGCGTGAATTGTGAAGCGAGAGGCGGTCTCTTAACGGAAACATGAACGCTGCAGAAGAACGACAGCGTGTGGACACAACACAACCAAAAAGTAGGACACACACCTACAGAGGAAGCAACGACAAGCAGAAGGAACACACACAAACAGCGCCGGTTTATGGGTTAGTTTAACAGATGCTGATGATGCAGACAGAGAAAGACATTTAAAAAAAAAGGATCAGAGACACAGACAGTGATGCTTCACATTCACAGCAACAAAATCCCTAAAGGGGGAAAAAACACCTGCTTCTCAGCAATCATCTAAACTGTCGCTAAAACTCTTCAGACAATGAGGAAGTCTAACCTTAAACACTTTTGTTTTATCGCTGCCTTGGTTTTTGCAAACTGTTTCCTGCCTAATAAACACTACGGTGAACACAGTGGATGTGAGGATCTGGATTATTATTACTGGAGCAACCTCAGGCTGCGGGCTGCATTGTTTGAAGAAAAACTAAATAAAATTCCATCGACTCCATTGTGCCGGAGCGCCGTTAGAAGTCTCACAACCTGTGCAAATATAAACTGAGCTGCTCATTGCTGAAATAATTGGTAATAAGTGGAAATGTTTAGGTGGACCGACTATATGAGGTCAGATCTGTGGTGAATAGATTTGGCCTGAAAGCACCGTCAGCTCTGCAAAATAAAAACAATCTGTGACGGTAGATTTTGACCTCATCACTGGACATATTAACTGATTTAGTACACCAATGACCACATAAGAACTCATGCCTACGAGTCGAAGCCTTCAGATCGCTGCACAGAAGCTAACTGTAATACTGCTGGAATGGGGAAAAAAAAGCACGATCACAGCACTGGGTGGAGCCTGGCTTCCTGAGGATGATAGCAAAGACTGCTGAGGAGGTTCAGGGGTGTCGGGCAGGTGGCAGCCCTGGTGGTGGCTGCGCCGTGGGGCTGGTAGGTACCTTGAGTCCCTGCCAGAAGGCCCAAATCACAGCGACAGCGTGCTTTCGCCTGGCTTCCTCCTTCAGCCTCCTGAGCTCCCTGCGAGCCTGTTCGGGTGGTGGGCGGGTGGAGACAGAGAGCGGGAACAAATGAAGCAGGAGAAGATGAGAGGAAGAAGAGGCAGACACCGTTTTGCCTGAGGTCAGAAACATCAAATGTGCACACACACACACACACACACACACACACACACACACACACACACACACTGCACACACAGCCTGTGTGGCCACTAAGAGCCTGTAACAGCGCTACTGCTCCAGCATCCAGGAATGAACATGCAACTGTGGGTCACATCAGAGTCGCTGCTCTTTAGTGGAACTCTGAGTCTAACGGGGGAAGAAGCAAAAGTCACAACTCAGGCAGCGGAGGTCACCTCTAAGGATCCAAACGGGTCCATCTAAAAAGACAAACAGCATCGCAACGCAGGAATAAAACATGCATTAGCTACACAAGCGGAGGAAGTCATGCAGAGAGAGCAGGCGGCATGCAGCGAAGCATGGACCTCAGAGGAAGAAGCTGAAAACACGTCCAAATAGGACACGGCTGTCCCCTGATGCATGTGTGTGAGACAGCGTCTGCCATGGAGAGGGACCGCCTGCACAACCTGGACTCACAAACTAGTACTTACGTCAGGAAAATGATCATTTGACTGAGCAGACAGAGCGGTAAAGACAGGCTTTGCTGAAAATGACCATTCTGCTCCCATTAGTCAGACTGGTCATTTCATCCAGTCGCCGGTCGTCTGGATGTGACGGGGCGTTTGGTAAACCGCCTCATATCATGAATTAAATGTTTGGAATGAGTGGAGCAGGACTGATGGATATGTTAGGGGGTTTGTTGTGGGAGGTGGGGTGGGAGGGTGTCGATGGAGGCGGCAAGTCGGAGAATCACGGCAAGTCAAGTCAACAGGCTTCCCAAATACCTTGGTGCCCTGCCAGCCGGCCCAAATGACCGATACGGCATGTTTATTCCTCGCCTCCTCCTTCAGCTGACGCAGCTCTCTCCGGGCCTAATGAAACGGTGGCAGTTGTGGAGGCAGTTAATTTCCATCAAAACTTTATTGCCCCAGGACAGGTACAGGGGACGTGTGAGAAGGTGTTATCAGGACACACAGACTGATGATTAACAAGAAACCACGTCAGGAGGTGGGACGTTCTCAACAATGACTGGCGTTCACGTTTCATAACTCTGGTTTAAAAGGATTAAAGAAATAAAACATGACAGGAGGGGGGGGTTATATGTTATTTATCGTGTGATAAAGTGGCTGACCAATAAGAAGCCTTCATCTTGGTGAAGAACAAAGTTCACACAGCTGAGCTATCTGAAGCACCATCTACAGCGAGTGTGCCGGTGGAGGCTGGCAGATACGAGACCTTGAAATACTTGTATTGATTATTAACAACCAGCACACACGCGCCAGACCATAATACTGCTAAGTTCAGTAAATCCTGATTAGATAATGATAGATTTGATGCCTGCAGTGGCTGAGGCTTCACAAAGGAGCAGCTTTTGGGCCCTCACATTGACAAACTGTAATTTGATGTGTATTTAGAGCTTTCTGGTGTTTTGCTGCCAGAATATCAGTATATTAAAAGGAAGCCTCTCAGCATGCGCCAGAGTAAACAGAGAGAAACAGAGGAAACCATCTGTGGGCCAGACAACGTACGGCTGAAGTAATTATTACATTAAAGAAGAAGCGGGACACATTTAGAACACCACATGGAACAGAAACCAACATGGAGACGTGTAGGTTTAAAGGTTCTGAGCCACGGCTCTGAGTGAGGCTCAGTGCATTTACCCACAATGCAATGCAACAACCTGAACATGTTAGTGGAGGAACTGTCAAGACAAACCTACAGGTACCAGCTACAAAACAGAAACAGGACAAACAATGAGGTTCATTAATCAGGCCAGAGGCCGGACCCAGGTTCAGTCAGCGACACTATTAGGCAGTCTGATAGTGAGATGGGACGGAGGGGACACGGTGAACAGGGACGGGAAGACAGCTGCGACAGCCACACACTACAGCTGGGTGGAAATACCTTGGTTCCCTGCCAGTATGCCCAAATTACTGTCACAGCATGTTTATTCCGCGCTTCTTGTTTTAGACGTCTCAGCTCCATCCGTGCCTGGTGGGATGCGGTGGGCGTTAGGTACGACAGGTTGAAGTTGTGAGGAGGAAAGAATCAAGAAAGGAAAGTTGAAAGGAACAGGGGGGGAAAGAAAAAAAAAAGATAGTGGGAGTTATGTGATCAGCAGAAGGAGCAGGATTAAAGGAGGAACAGCAGCAATAATATCAAGGACAGCTTTGTTAAAGAACAGAACTTTTGCAACGCTGTGGTGCCATTAGGCAGGAACGCTGCACACAACGAACAAAACAAAGTGTTTAAAGCAATACTGTCAAGTGTTCAGGCCTTAACAGGGCTAATGAAAACAGGCAGGCTGACTCGGTTCTGTGGCTCTGCTCTTTAACCCGTCAGTACCTGGGTGCCGTGCCAGAAGGCTGAGATGGTGGTCACCGCCTCCTCACACCTCTTCTGATACTTCAGCTCTCTCAGGAGTTTGCGTGCCTGGTGGGAACAAGCAGACGTTTTAATTTCATCTCGGTGGTGATTGGGCTCCTCCGACATTAGATTCTATTCACAGGAAGTTGCCCACCTGCCAGCCTCTGGTGTACGACTGCACCACGGTGGTGGCGCTCTTCACCTGCTTGTACTTCTTTTGTTGCTGTGAGATGGAAAAGGGGGACATTTGAGTACCAAGACTAAATGCATCAGAGCATACACGTCTATTTCGCTTTGTGTTTCAAGCGCCATTAATCAAAAGAGCCTCACCGCATATCGACGGTACCAAGCCGACACCACGACCTGGCTCTTCTTCATCAGCAGGAACCGACTGCGGCACTTCCATCCTCGGTAGATCTTCTGAATGAGCGCGGCCAGGTCTTGCAGGCATTGCCTCCTCCTCTCCTCCAAGAAAAAGAGCTGCAGACGGAGCAGAAAATGAATCGCACAAGACAACGAGACGGCAGCCTCATGCACAGCGTGATGTCTGGTTAAAAGTCAGCTGCTAGCAACATCGACTGTTCTTCTGAAAGGTAAAATATCGTTTTAATCTCATCAATAAGATCACAGGGAAAGCTGAGAGGAAAAGGTTAACCTCCCATGAAATCAATACAAATATCGATTAAAAAAAAAAAAAAAAAGAAAGAAATCGAGCAAATACTGATTCAGCAATAACAAGAGCAAAGTCCGCTCCATCTGTAAGAGAAAAACAACCGCTGGGCTCAGAGCAGGACAATAAAATGACCCGTGTGAACGAACTTATCTTTATCAGGGATGTGACAGCCACATTTATTGTCCTGCAATAAGCAATTTGTTCATCCGTGGGCAGAGTGCCGCGGGCCTTTTCATATCACTTGTACAGCTACACACAGGAAAAGAGTTTTTTTTCCATTTGTTATCCCTCCTAATACACCCCAGACCTTCCCCATTACCTCCCATTTACTTTGAACTGTCTATTTAAGTCTTGTTCTATATTTTCTCCAAACACTGGTAACCACCGAGCTGGAGGTGTGGCTAAACCCATCAACAACCAGAAGAAATGTGGTCTGGAAACCTGGATCAGAACCTCCTCCACTAGACTCTATGTGACTCCAGCAGATATGTGAAGGAGATAAGTTCATCAGATAGAAAAAGCAATTATAGAAGCAGAAATTCTCCCAGCGTGAGCTCATGTTATTCCAGCTCTGTTTGGTCTTCTGCTGCTGGTGGGGGCAGAAAGTACATTCAAACGCTGCAGGCTTGAACCGTTGAAGAGGCTGCGAGCACCGACTAAAGAAGCTCATTTCCCATGTTATACGGGGTAGCTAAGTGAAACCATGTGTTTTCAGAGTGGTGGTTGCATGCTAATTGCTGGAGTGGGGGCTCCAAGTGCAGCCCACCCTGCTTTACAAACATCTTACTGTGAGAAAACAGGCAGCGGAGCGCCCTGGATCCAGCGTTTAGACTTTAAAGCAGCTTGATCTAGTGGAACACCACGCAGATGTCAAAACCAGTTGGAAAAAACCTCAGACTTAAAGGTCATAGGGCTGCTTTGTCTTTTCTTTACAAATGTATATACTGTACCGTTCTTGGGTTCCTGATGAAGATCTTGGAGCGGCCGTAAGAAAACTCCTCGGCTGGAACCTGGAGGTCGGCCATCAGCACCTCCACTCCTTCCCTGTGGGGAGCCAGAAGATTCAGAGGGGTCATCCAAAGCACGCTCGACGCTGCATGTGGCCATTGAAGACATAAGCGCTGCTGTATAGGAGCAGCGGGGGTTTGGACAAGAGAGCACGGCGCCGACAATGAGTTTGACAAAGAATGACGAGAGCAGCAGAGAACACTGTAGGGGGAGACTGAAACCACACAAAGTGAATAACACGACACCAATGTGAGGTAGAGCAGATGGGCATCAGGGATTTTACAGTGGATGAAACATGCAGATACAGAGCGGAGGAGACAGATAAGGACGAAACGTCTCAACATGTCCCGGTTCAGGCAGAGGACACCTGACTTCTGCTCAGCAACCAGCCGCTATGTGGCACAACGCTGCTGGTTTCTCACATCATTAATGTGGAAATACCCCAAACTCTGCTCAGTAAAGTCTGGAATAATACAGCTGGACACAAGTCACAAGGCCACCAGTGATAAAACAACATTTTCTGAGGTGATGAGGTAACAAAGCAGCTTCCCCCCAACAGCACTTTACCCCAGATTATAATTTACATCCTCAGAAACATACAGAGGCTGCTGGGTGAACTGTTGTCAAGTACAACTGATTACGTCCCTCCTTTGGGCCTTGTTTATCCTGGGAAAGTCATCTGAACCCTTATTTCCAGGAAGAACTTACTTCACATTCACACAGCTACACAGTCACACCTGGGAGCTGACCGCTGCAGGCGCTTAGCGCCGGTCACACTCTCCACTGGGAACGCTCCGAGTTCAGCGCCTCAGCCAAACACACCTGGGAGCGTTTCTCACTTTCACATTTTTCTCACCAAAACCTTGGAGGAATTTGTTTTGGCAAGCGTCCAGTGAGAAGACCCCCACCCCTCTACACCAGATGAACTTCCCCCTTAATGCCACAGCTTCAGGATAAACCCGACTGTTACCTGGCAGGGCCCCTCCAGTGTGGCCAGGTCTTTTTGCAGAGCATTTTGTAGCGCTCCAGGCAGGGCTCGTAGGCCTGGCGGAAGGCGTAGCCTGCTCTCCGCACGCGGACGTTCTCCATCAGGCCCAGGTAGCGCACCTGGTGGCAGACCAGAGACTCGGTGAAGATGTGGGACGCCTTCTTGTCATTGGGCTTGATGCATCTGTGGAGACAGAAAACCGGTTGCTCAAGTTAGAGTGAGATGATGCTTAGAGCGTATACGTACCACATTAAATATCAGAGAGCGTCATGAGCACACCATGCAGTCAAAATGAAGCTGAATTAATAGCAGCTTAACAGTAGCTTGACCCGCTTCAGTCCAGTTTCCATGTCAGCTATTTGTGTGGGTCCAGATTCATCCACACACAACATGCTAATAATATTCTAGTCTGAAACAGTGAGAACAGCTGCTACACACTGGTCAGCACTCTCTGTGTGATTAATAGGACCAGTCGTACCGGATGTAGTTTGGGTTCTTGGTCTGCAGGTTCCTCATCAATGTGCCCACTGATGTTTTGAACTGGGTTCCAGCGGTCGGGGGTCTCTTCAGGTTGACTTTGGCTGGGTTTCCTTCGGGGAACAGCTGTTTGATGAGGCTGTGGTTGGCCTTGTACATGGCCTGGGACAGGTCCCGGTACAACAGGTCGTTGTTCTTGTCAACAAAGCCCTCGACCCGATACAGCACCTTGACAGAAAGCGGAAAAAAAATCAGGAAATGCTCAACTGTGTTTTCCTTTATTATCGGACAAAGACGTGCTAAATATTAACTGTTAGTTATTTCAGTTTTAATATTCCTGCAAACTGAATGCATGCCATTAGAATGTACATTACTCTACCACCTGCACCAGGTAACATCAGTGTGTCTGTATCTGTTTCTGTTTTTAGCAACCAAACGCTGCATTTCATTCCTCATCCTTGTGTGTGCAGTCTGCAGTACCTTCCCGGCATAGTGCTGGATGCGGAAGCAGCTGTGTGGCAGGCTGTGGTCAGTGAGGAACTTTGAGTTCTTGCTCAGGCGACTCTCAAAGTGCTGATGCTCAGCACAGATGGTGTTCAGTTTGTCCAAGAAGGTCTCATCGGTCACCGTCCCAGGCCTCAGGCACTCCTCATCCAGCATGGCCAAGATGCCATTTTGATTCTGGAACAACAACACGCACATGTTGGCACAGGGTAAGAACCATAAAACAGTCAATAATCACATTTTGTGTTTTTAAAAAACAAACATTTATAATCTGCAAAACCCGGTTTTGAAGAAGCTACAAAGCCTGTTCACCTGAGTCACACACCTGAAATAATCCTCCCTACAGTCAAGGTCTAAGGCTGAGCACAAAGTCAGACTCAACATGTCGGATTGGTTTGTGTGATCTCCAGACTGTGGAGACGGACTTACATTCTCAATGAGGTCGCAGATGATTGCGTTGTTGAAATATTCAATGTTGGTCCACTCGATGCCCTGCAACAAAGCACACGGAGGTCAAACAGGCACACTTCCTTCTGTTCTATAGTTTCTAAAGACATCTTTTCCACCGCAGACTGTCACAGAACGCAGTGGCTGATGTGGTGACACGCTCAAGTCCACCTGAGTTTACACAATACCGAGGATCTGGTCCAGTACTTGATCTGCAGAAGAAGCCGTTATCTAATTCAGTGGCTTCACAGCAGATATCTGCAGACAGTTCTGCACCGTTTATCAGCTCCAACAGGCAGATACAGCATGCAGCTCAGCACCAGACACAGAGCTGCTGCTTTCCATTATTACATTATGTGTTGCATAACAACATTTATCAGAGCAGGCTGTAATTATTAAACTTCTTGCTGCTGTACATCGGTCTAATCGCGTCTGTTTCTTGCTGACTTGTTACGTTGCAACAACAAGTCAGACCAGAGAAAATGATGAAGACGCACTGCTTAAGGCCAGTTCATGGTGTGACTGACTGGATGCTACTCGTACTACAGTAGGTACAGTCTGGCCCGCTAAGCCGATGCTCGCATTGCTTCAGGGTCGGCTTTGTCTTTGCACTTCTACAGGACGCAGCAGCTGGTTCGGGACTGAGCAGCAGCACCGTGTCAACGAGTGGACAGACGTAGCTCAGGGTTCCTGGAGAACTCTCCACCGTGTTAAAGCACTGAAGCATGTATGATTAGAGCATGTCCAGAGTCCAGCAGTTACTACTTTAATTACTACTCCTAACGATGAATCACAACAACAAATGTTGGGCTTGACGTCCACAGAACGGTCTGTGCAGAACCTTGCTTCCTCGGGAGGATGATGCGTACCCTTGCGTCTGTGCAGACGTGGGACGTATTTGGCGTTTAGTAACTGCTCCAGTTTCATCAAAACATGAACTGATAAAGATGTGCACACCTAAAGACACAGCTGCACTTTCTGCATCCCTCACTCTCATCTGAAGCTTTATAATTTCATACTGAGAGATGCAAACGTTACATGATGTCTGGATGCACACTAAAGCAACATAAATGGGTCTGAGTGCAGTTCTTATTTCTATCCTTTCATCGTGAAGCTGAGCGCATCTCTGATAGTTAATATTTAAATGATTAAATCAGTCTAAATGTTGGTACATCCGTCCTTATAGCCAGAACTGTCCTTGCTGCTTTGATGTTGTGTTCTAGAGGCCTCCTCTGCTCCTCTGCCTCCATATTATCCAAGGACACGACTCAAAGCCGCGTCGCCGGAGAGGAAAAAGAAAAAAAACACTTTCTATCTCGTCCCCTCAAAAAGTCGACCGGCTCCTGAAAAACCCATTTCGCTGCCATCAGCTTGGCGGCTACTAATGGAGCGGGAACACAGGTTGATGGACGCGATGTGACATGATGTTCTGGGGGGGAGGGGGGTGCAGGGAGAAGGCGTGGCGTAAACCAACGGGTGACTGGCCACATTCTTGATTGGCAGGCCTCCCTTCTTTCTCCAGCACTGTGGTATTTTCCCATGCAGCGTACTGGACAGAAGCCAGGGCTGGAATATCATCGGTGGTGCTGTTAGTGGGGAGGGGGTGTGGGGGTCACTCATACATAGAGCTCTGAAAACAAACAGAGCTTAAAGGCCCACGACGGGGAGTGTTTACTCTCGGCGGAGTGAGGGATCATTTCCGTCCCTGAGAGTCCACAGAGAGGCGGAGGGGGGACGGAGAGTAAAGACAGAGCGACGACAGGATGGAGGACGTAAATGATGTAGAGCTCTGTTTGGCTTCAGGGCAGGACTGCACACTGATGTGGGATTGCAGGAGTTAACCAGATGAATGGGTTAATGCTGTAATGAGCCGTCAACACAACAAACTGAGTGACGACATGTTGAATAATGCAGACGCAGGTGAAAGATGGCCACCAGAGCTACAGGCGGGACCGAGTTAACCAACAGGTCACGACCCGCTCTAACAACCAAGATTGGTAAAGTTCATTGGATGTTTGAAACTCACCTCTCTGACGTACTCCTCCTGCTCCTCGCGCAGGGTCAGCTCGATGAAGATCTGCTGCAGCTTCTCGTTGCAGTAGTTGATGATGAACTGCTCAAAGCTGTTGTCCTGCGAGAGCAGCAGCAGCAGGAGGCAAAACAACACAATCAGCTGCAGGTAATGTCAGAATGTTCACAATCCTGAAGGTGGTGGAAAACAGCTCGGTCTGCCTGGAGGGATCTGCAGTGCTGTCTACTGGATGGATGTTTTTTGATTGGATAAGGGCCAATGTGGAGACTCGACATATCTGAAAGCGTTTCTATAGCCGAGCTGAGGTATATGGCAAAGGTCATTTTAAACCTGTCTCTCTCTTTTTGCTGTCATGTCGATATGTGCAGGGGCGGATTCAATATTAATCTCTACTAAACAGTTAGATTTTCCAGCTCACTTAGCAGTCTGAAACTGTCATCGAATACATATATATGTATTTGCACAGATTTGTCGGTTTTGAATTAAACTTCTATCGACTTTGGTTCTGAAGGACGGCTGCACCAGTGTGCATTGATGAGGAGAGCTTGAGCTTATTGATGTGCTGACACAGGTTCATGGACCTGAGAACAATAACGCCTCTGGTCATGGAAACACATTCACAATCTGAAAACTGAAATCTTAGACATTAGTCCAGCAGTACTTCTCCTGGACTATAAATGCCTGCTCAGATCAGAGGAGGCTTCAAATCTGATGTGATGCTAACAATAATTAGCCTGAACAAACCAGCACCTGCAGGGATTTTCCATCTCATCTCTTGGACAACCCTACCTGAGTAAACATTTTATATATCTGGGCAGCGAGCAGCTGATAGCGGTGACTTCTGCTGCTGAGACATATGGCGATAAAGCCTTATCAGAACAAGTTGCTGTAAATTATAACAGACTTCATTAAACATTGATGGAGTGTTAACTGTTCAACAGCCTTAACCCTTTTCCCGCATCGCTGAATTATCATTTCAGTCGATTATGACCATCGAACGGTGAGTCATGCTTCTCGGCAGAAGGCCTCATTGCACACGGTGTTAGGGGAGCGTTCACTGCTGACGACTGGTTAGAGTTTTAAAAGCAGGTTTAGTCTAAGAGGTCGGGATGAAGGACGCAGCAGGGTTTCTCAGTGACCAGGAAACGGGACAAATATTATTTCATAATGTTCAAACTCCGTTTCCTTTTGCTGAGAAACCAAAAGGTCATCTTCACCCCTAAACACACACACACTCACACACACACTGAGCAGCAAACTGATGCGCGTCTATTCCCAAGTGGCAGCGAACACCAGCTGAAATATGTCAGAGAAACCAAAAAAACCCTGCCTACAAACTTTGATGTTTTATGACGAGGCGCTAACGGCAGCTTGAGGAAGTAAGCGTCTCAAAAGTCCATTTGAAGTTAATGGCATCATTTCTCAGAGGTGATGATTCACGTCTCCCGAGGCGGGGGGAAGTCCTCGCATTATGTTTTACTGTATTACAAATTAAAAGTCAACCAGGTGAAGAAAGTACAGCGGCTGGCAAGACTTCACAGGGAGCACTATTTATAAATACACACGAGTTTTTAAAAAATGAAATAAAAAAAAAGAATCAGTACAGTGTCATATAATTAATGCAGGACAAGGTTATGAAGCTGCTCATATCTGTCTTTAGCTGTATCGCACCAAAACAAGTTCAAACATCAGCTTCTTCTGAACCTGGTGAAGAAATATCTCAACATTTTGGGGAACACATCTGGATGAACAGATTGGTACCACTCCTACGGACACAGCGATTTCCCTCCTGACCGCTGGTTACAGTCCACTTTCATTTTCAGGGCTTCTCTCTAAGATGGTGTTAACATCATAGGTAGATGGAATATTTTGACAGTAAACCTCTGGGTTGTTCTAAAATACACATAAACTTTTATTGATAACATGAGGGTCTTTGGGAGTGTTATTGGTAAAAGTTGGACATTTGAGGTAAAACTTTTGTCCCCGGCTCATGAACTCTAAATTATTTGGCAAAAAAACAAACAAAAATCCCCCAAATGAAACAAAAACTAGAATAATTTCAGCCTGTTTTCTCTAAAACGCATGTTAATCTGCTGCATAAGCACAGAGTCACTATTGATCAGAACACTCACGTAGGAGGGTGGAGGGTGGATTTCTGGTCGAAAAGAAATGTTTTAGGATTTTACATTTGACTTGTTGTAGCTTGTTATTTAATTTTCCCTCAATTTTCCTACTTCAGCACATTTCTTGTGTACATGTCATCCTGATAATCAACATTATTTGAAATGAACACAGCCACTGCTCCTAAAGGTGGCGCCTCGCTTTGCTCTAAACATGAAGCTACAGCTGCTGTTGGTGACTTGTAGCTTTAACCCAGCAGCTCGCCAGCCCGGTTCTGTCACTGCAAACTAATGAACACGTCATCCTGCTTGTTTTCGTCCACACAGCGTCAAACGGACACGTGTAGTTCTACAGGGTTCTGTTACAGGTCGGGCTGCTTCTCGACGGGGTGCCGACTCCCCGGGGTCGTCAGAAAATTACTGCTCCGGCCGAGAAACAGTCGCTGTGTTAGTTTGGGACAGAACCGGGCAGGCGTGGCCCTCCTCAGCCCCTCCTGTCCTCTCTGGGCGCCGTCGGGGTCCAAACACGGGAGTGGTATCAACCCCCTCATCTCAGACAGACGCATGCATGTCCCAAAATAGTCAACCATTTCTTTAGACTTTTATATTAACAAACAACAGGTTTGAATCCAGCAGCAGCACACGGAGCTGTCGGTATATTCAGTACACCGAGCAGAACTCCTGCAGCCCTGTGGCCCGTCTACTCAGTCTTCACTCACTGATATAAAGACGTCTGGAAGCTGAACATGACTCAGCACCCTCCACAAACGTCGGACCCACTGCGGGCCCGTTGTTTCCAGCTAGATGTACTGATTAAACTGGAAACCGAGTGCGCTGGCCGGATTCAAACGATGCAAAGGCTTCTTTAGCATCCTTTCAGCTGCGTGGCTCCGCTGCACACCGGGAGCCCTGAGTCTTTAACGAGGAGCTGAATTAAGCCAACGGGAGCTCGGATCACAGCATGCACACTGGCACAGCACACAGGCCGGTGCAGGTGTTACTTACTCCATCCTGGTGACCCAGACACAACACAACAGCCAGAGGAGAGGAAGGACTTGAGAGTGAGTGAGGATGAACAGGCAGTGGTGATGAAACAGACATAAACATGTGGGGGGACTGAAGGCATCAAGCAACAGGAACATTATGGACATTTACTGCTCCAGCTCACATGTGTTTGCATGCATGTGCTTATTTAGATGCAGACTGTAGCTGCTGCTACGTGACCGACATAATGGACTGTAAAACCCATTACCTGCTGCTGTATGTGCTGTTGCTGAGCTATCAGATGCTCCTTAATGTGAAACGTGCTGGACGGCGTATCCGTAACATATAACCGCCGTGGAGGACGCCGAGCTGAGCATTGATTTTTTTTTTTGGGCTATTTTTCTACGTGAAAATGTGTGAAATGCTGATTTTAGCGTTGAGAAATCATTTCCCCCCTGAGAGCAGTAAAGCTGAACTAATCTGATGGTGGCGATTTATCAGCCCTCAGTTCTCGCTGATAAGCTCCACACAGGTACAGAAACATGCAAACAGCCCCGGGCGGCATTACTTTCTATGTAATGAAATGTTTGGGTGGTCTGACTTTGTCCTTATCGGGGAAAAAACCCCCAAAATCGCCGGTTTGATCTGCTGTGTCTCTTACCTCAAATATCTCAAAGCCATAGATGTCCAGCACACCCATGACCTTGTGGCGCGTTTTGGCTTGAGCCTGCAGGGAGACGGTACGGTCAGGAATACAGAGCGACAGCCCAGGACTGTCAGTTAACCACAGAATAAGTAACCAGCTAAAAGACGTGACTCACTTTTATGCTTTCATTAATCCTTGACACCAGCCAGGTAAACAGGCGGCTGTAGAGGTTTTTGGCGAGAGCATCTCGGGCGTAGTAGGCCTGTGAACAATACATCATTGGAGGATTTATTTTCATTACATCCGTATAGATACAAAACATTCTTGTGCCTTTAAAAAATGCATTTAAAAAAGCTAATACTCAGGTTTCAGAAAGACAGAGAGCCTCATCAATTCATAAAAACTGTGGATAAACAGATTAGAATGAAAAAAACACCAACACAGGCCGTGGCTCTGCTAAAGTCAGGTTAATTCTCTGAATCGCTTCCTCCTCTGCGTCTGGCCCGTGTTTACAGCCTCAGAGTGAACTCACTAACCTCTAAAAACATGACCTACATCCCAGTTTCCAGGAGGAATACTGCTCATCTATAATGGAGAGATTCTGGTGTAGCATTGACATGGATCAGAGTCGGCAGCCGCTGGAGCAAGTCGAGGGGAAGGAATGGCCCTTTATCGGTTCATGCATCGTGACTCTGTGTGTGTGTGTGTGTGTGTGTGTGTGTGTGTTAACATTAACACAAGTAGGACAGACGTGAGCGGTGCGAGCCAGAGAGCTTCGTGTCTGACCTGGGCCACGTTCAGGGTGGTGGAGACCTTCTCCAGCTTGGCCTCGACTGTCCGGTAGCTGAAGGCCCTCTCCAGCACCGACTGCTCGATCCCCAGCAGCTCACACATCTCCTTCAAATCTACAAGGCAGACAAGAGGAACACTTACAAACAAAAGAAGTACTTCTGCAAGGATTAAGGGCAATAAATAATTATTCTTCTGCTTCATCACTGGTGTTATTTGGTGTCTTATTCTGCAGATGAACATGAAACTGGGATGTCATGAGTAGAATCAGAAGACTTTGATTAAAACATAAGGCTCATTATTTATATGTATTAATAACTCTGGTAAAACAGGAATCAAATTGGTAGAAATTGAAAACAGAGGGAGGTTATTTTGACAAACAAAAGCACGAGACTCAGATCTGAGCAACACATTCAGCCTCTGATTCCCATTAAACATTATTTTGTTGGAGTGAGACGGATGGTGCCACCGACAGCGAGGGAAGCATGTAAATGACATGTTTGACTAAAGAGAGCAGCTGCGACGGTGATAACACTCACAGGTCTTTTCATGCAAATCATAAAACACACATATTTGGAGAGCAGGAACATGAGAGGGGAGCAAAGCAGCCAACAGGGGGGGCAGTGGCTCTGGATCAGGCCAACTGGGTCAGAAGGGCTGCCTTCAGGAGTATTCACAGTAAATGTTCTGGTAAAGCAATTACACTGAAGCAATGAAGACGTTACTCAGCCAATGTGAGGATTACAGAAACGCTGCTGAACACATGCAGCTCGGCTGATCAGAACCGCTTTGAGCTGCAGGTCCATCCAAACGCTGTAGAACCCACCGTTCTTGTCTTTGACGCGGCTCTCGTCTGTGCCGTTGCAGCGAGACTCCGGCTTGAACTCGATGTTGCCGAGCTTCAGCACGGCCGCGACCAGCTCCAGCACCGACTGGACCTCGTCCTCCATGAAGCCCACGATCTGCATGGCGTTCTGGGAGGACGGTGAAAAACACAAGTCCCTTTACTGACTAATGTTGGTGGATGTTAGCGGAAAACATAGAAACAGCAAGTCAGGTGAAAACACAGCAGAGAGACGAGGAGCTGTCAGACTGCTGCTGACATCAGCATGAATTAAACCAGGTACCGATGTCTCCTATAAGCACAGGTTCTGGTATTAAACACTCAGACGTGTATTTGTGCATGTTGGCACTGTTAAATGAGAAAAAAAGATTAAACCAGGTCGTGTTGCACCAGTAAATAAACTGTGTCAACCGGACCAACAGGTCTTCATCCAACAGTCTGTAGTTTATGGGGTAAACAAAGAGGTTTCAATGGACCCTTCAAACTTCCCATTTGAATATTGAAATGTCTGTAACAGAATCCCAGTCCGTCATACTTATGCAAAAAAAATGAAATCACTTCCTGTTCATAGCTCACAAAACAGACAACTAATGAATGAATGAGTTTATTATTAGGACAGAATTATAACACGTTAATTAAACTTTAAATGTCTGAGGGAGGAGAGTGCTGCCGTCTCTAAGTGCAGCAGAGGATGCCGTGTGGCGCGACTCATTGTTCGGAGGGAATGTCCTCCCGTGTTTCCGCTGGTGAAACGCAGCTGTACGAGGGAATAGTGCAGCAGCTCAGCGTGAGAGGTGATGAGAAGCAGGATGTGAAGTGGAAACGGAGTATCGTAGACTGTGACAGAAGGTGGCCGAGGAGGACTGAAACAATGCAGCGCAGCAGAGAGAGTCTAATAGACACAACATCCGATCTGGAAGGAGGACGAGAAGTGGCACGAAGAAATCACATAATACTGCACATAGAGATAATAATGAGCTGCTACACGCTGACAGTTTGTTAAATGAACACACACGTGGAACTTTCTGTGTTTAATCAATGCAAACCTCACAGTTCAGGTTTTCTGGTGGTTCGGATCAAAGCTCACCTGGTTTTACAACAGGCGGGAGGGAAACTAAGGCCGAGTGTTTTCACAAGCGGGAAGAATGACTTTTACACACTTTTTTGGTTTGTTATGTCAAGGAGATAAGGACCATTCAAGCTGCCCTCTGAGCAGGATTTATATTAACCCGGGGTGACGCAACGAGAAAAAAAAACACTACCTCAGGGCTGAATGTCACCTGGAGCGTGCTGCTGCTGCTGCCAGCGGTTTATAGTTTTATAGACCAAAGATCATTTCCATGAAGGAGTCCAGGAGTCATTAAAACGTGAACTGGGTTTAAGGTGACTCACTCTGACGGTCCTGAAGTTGGCTGCGTCGTCCAGTCCGTTGACCGCGGCCGAGTCCAGGCTCAGGTAGTTGTACTTGCTGAAGTCCCGCTCCAACTTTAGCTTCTCTGCAACACACAAACCACACAGACGCTCGTTTCCACTTCATTTGCAAACTGACAATTCAAATCATACATCCCTCACACCAACACGCCCAGAAAAATGGGCCTGACGGTTATAAGGTGACGTATTAAATGATCTGAT